ATCAGACAACTGTTGTCCTCTCTGAAAACAGACATCAGAGAAACACATACGTAGTGGGAGACTTCAACAAACCACTATCAACAAGGCAAGGAACTTTCCTACCTCATGGAGATTAAAAACCACACTACTGGAAGACCACTGGACTAATGAGGAATCAAAGAAGAAATAAAAAATTCTTTGAATGGAATGACAAGGAGGACACCAATATCCTAAATGTATGGGATGCAGCAAAAGCAGTAATAAGAGGAAAATATATAGCAATAGAAGCTCACATCAAGAAACAAGAAAGAACTCAAAGAAACAACCTAATCTTGAAGCTCAAAGATCTAGAAAAAGAACAACAAAAAAACCCCAAAACCAGTAGAAGAAAGAAATAATAAAAACCAAGCAGAAATAAATGAAATTGAAACTATAAAAACAATCCAAAAGATCAATGAAATCAAGAGCCGGTTCTTCGAAAAATCAATAAATAGACAAACCCCTAGCCAGGCTCACAAAGGAAAAAAGGGAGAAAGCACAAATAAACAGGATCATAAATGAAAGAGGAGAAATCACAACGGACACAGCAGAATCAAAAGAAATAATCATAACTACTATGAACAGTTATATGGAACAAGTTTCAACAACCTAGAGGAGATGGACAAATTCCTACAACTCTACAATCACCCAAAGCTAGATAAAGAAGAAATAGAACACCTAAACAGACCAATTACAATTAGCAAAATTGAAATGGTAATCAAAAACCTCCCCAAAAACAAAAGCCCAGGACCTGATGGATTTCCAAATGAATTCTACCAAACATTCAGAGATGAATTAGTGCCTAATCCTTCACAAACTCTTTTCAAAAAATGAGAAGGAAGGGACATACCAACCACGTTCTATGAAGCCAACATTACACTAATAACAAAAACTGAACAAGGACAACACAAAAAAGGAAACTAACAGGCCAATCTCCCTAATGAACACTGATGCAAAATCCTCAATAAAATTTTAGCTATCAGAATCCAACAGTGTATCCATAAGATAATTCACCAGACCAAGTAGGATTCATTCCAGGGACACAAGGATGGTTTAACATCCGAAAATCAATCAACGTTATCCAACACATCAACAAAAAGAAATATAAAAACCATATGATAATATCAATAGATGCTGAGAAAGCTTTCGAAAAAGTGCAACACGCATTCATGATAAAAGACCTTGAAATTCTTGGGATACAAGGAACATACCTCAACATCATAAAGGCCATCTATGACAAGCCAACAGCCAGTATCATTTTCAATGGTGAAAAGCTGAAAGCAATTCCATTAAGATCTGGAACAAGACAAGGATGTCCACTCTCACCACTGCTCTTCAATATAATACTGGAAGTTCTAGCCAGAGCAATAGACAAGAGAAAACATCCAAGGAATCCAAATAGGAAAAGAAGTAGTCAAACTATCACTATTTGCAGATGATATGATAATATACATAGAGAACCCCAAAAACTCCACAGAAAAACTATTCAACTCATTAATCAGTTCAGTAAAGTGGCAGGATACAAAATCAAACGCAAAAGTCAGTAGGCTTCCTATTCACAAACAATAAATCTGAAGAAGAAATCAAAAAAACCATCCCTTTTATTATTGTAACAAAAAAAAATCAAATAGTTGGGAATAAATCTAACATAAGATGTAAAGGACCTATACAAAGAAAACTATAAAACACTGTTAAAAGAAATAGAAGAAGACACAAAGAAATGGAAAGACATACCCTGCTCATGGATTGGAAGAATAAACATTATTAAAATGGCCATTCTACCAAAAGCAATATACCGATTCAATGCTATCCCAATCAAAATTTCAATGTCATTCCTCAAAGAAATAGAACAATTATTGATGAAATTCATATGGAATCACAAAAAACCCGAATAGCCAAAGCTCCCTGAAAAAAAAGAAGGGAATGGAGACATCACACTCTCAGACTCAAACTATACTACAAAGCCATAATCATCAAAACTGCATGGTATTGGAACAAGAACAGACATACAGACCAATGGAATCGAATAGAAAATCCAGAAATAAACCCACAGATTTATGGTCAACTAATCTTTGACAACGGAGCAAAGAATATGCATTGGAGCAAAGAAAGTTTGTTCAATAAATGGTGCTGGGAAAACTGGGTCGCTACATGCAAAAGAATGAAGCTTGATCACTACCTCACACCATGCACAAAAATCAACTCAAAATGGATTAAAGAACTAGACATAAGACCTGAAACCATAAAATATATAGAAGGAAATATAGGCAAAACACTACGTGATTTGCACATCAAAGACATCTTTACAGACACATCACCAAAAGCAGTGATAGTGAAGGCAAAGATAAACAGCTGGACTATATCAAATTAAAGAGCTTCTGCACAGCAAAAGAGACAATAACAAAAAAAAGAGAAACCCCACCAACCAACTGGGAGAAAATTTTGCACACAACACTAATGATAATGGACTGATCACAAAAATCTGCAAAAAGCTGATGAGACTCAACAACAACAAAAGAAAATAATCCAGTCAAAAAATGGGCAGAAGAGCCAAAAAGAAACTTCTCTGAAGAGGAAATGCAAATGGCCAACAGGCATATGAAAAAATGTTCAACATCACTTGTAATCAGGGAAATGCAAATCAAAACTACCATGAGATTCCATCTTACACCAGTGAGAATGGCACATATTAAAAAAACTAGCAACAACAAATGCTGGCGAGGGTGTGGAGAAAAAGGAACTCTTCTGCACTGTTGGTGGGAGTGCAAACTGGTCCAACCACTATGGAGAGCTTTGTGGAGATTTCTGGACCTACTAAACATAGAGCTTCCATATGATCCAGCAATTCCACTCCTAGGTCTTTACCCAAGGACACAGAAACATCCATTCCAAAGAACACCTGCACCCCTATGTTTATAACAGCACTATTTACAATAGCTAAGCTTTGGAAACAGCCCAAATGCCCAAAAATAGATGACTGGATCAAGAAGATGTGGTACATATATACCATGGAATATTACTCAGCATTCAAAAAAGATAAACACATGCAATTCGCAGCAACATGGATGGCGCTGGAAGGGATCATGCTCAGTGAAATAAGCCAAAAAGAAAAAGAAAAATACCGGATGGTCTCAATCATAGCAGGAATCTAGAAAACTTAAATAAGGGACCAGGAAAATGAATAACTATAAGAAAGTGAAAATCAAAATCAACAAACAACTATGAACCAGAGACACTTTTTGGGGGGTGAGGGGCGGGAGGGGAGGGATTGGGGTCAAAATGGGGGGTTGTAATTGTATGGGGAATAAAAAATGAAATTTATTATTAAAAAAAAAAAAAGAACTAACAAGGATCTCTTGAAACTGCTAGTCCTAAAGAGAGAGTGGGGGATTGGAAATGCCAATCTCAAACAGCAAGCCAAAAGCCTACTTTTCATAACTATTGGAAGCAGCCAACTCTTTTGTCTTCCTCCTCTCACTCCAATTCTGTTTTAGCACAAGTCTATTTTCTCAACTACAATTAGCACTGAGCAAACACTGGATTCTTGAGTTCTAGCTCACATCCATGAATATTAATTATACCCTACCCTCCTAGGTGCTGCTTTTCTCCGCTTACAGAATACCAATAGGCATTCATCTACAAACAGCTGACCTAACTTTACCACGGAAATCTCAAGATAATCTAAAGATTAAAACAGATGTGCTGAACATTCAACCAACAGTCCAAACAACCTCAAACAAATAAAATGATGTTGCGTCAAAAAACTATCGCACAGAGTGCTAAGCAACTTCCAACTTCCTAACAGTCATGCTTGAGGTGAGAGACATGCAATTGGGCAGTCACACCTGAAAGGGAACACAGTATAGTGAAAGCAGAATTGGTTTGGGATCCTGGCCCCAGGCATGTTCTCTGAGTGTTCAAGTGAACCTCAACTAGAAAGGATTCTGCCATTCGGATAGAGCTCATCCACACCTCCATACTCAGTATGAGTTCCATTTTATTTTCACTACTCAAGAAATAGAGAACTATTGCCAGCTTTAAAAATGTCTTTGCTCTACAGGTTATTGCATTATATAATGTCAGCTGATAAGTATGGTTAGAGGAAACACATAGGACAGAGGAAGCAATCTATTGCAGAGATTTTTAATCTATAAAAGAGTAAGTTCCAAAGTAAGTCAGTTGAGTTGGGTAAGAGAAGAATGGGGAGTGCGTGGGTTTTGGTGCCAAAATGCTGTATTACTATCTGCAGAAGTCACCTAAGCCCTTTTGGTTTCAGTTTCCTCATGTGAAAGGAGAAAAATACTAACTACTGCCACAGGGAGAGGGTGAAAGGCAGAAATGTGTTACAATGGATTTAAGCAAGCTTATCAATTAGAAAGCACATTTAGTCAAGTGTTCTGACAATGTGAGTGGTGACTATGATCAGTTCTCTAGAATTGGGATAGGCAATGAGTTTGGAGAGGACTTAGTTCCTCTTCATCAACTCTCAGAAAGACAGTGCTGCTCGCCTCCCAAGCCCACTGCCTCAGCATCTCCTCTGCACCAACACTTCCTGCCCACACCACCACACACATTTACCTTTGCATACACAACTCAAAATAGGGTCAATAACTTCTCTCACAAATGCTAATTAGAATCTAAACATGTTGATTAAAAGCAGCCCACTTGCCAAGTCCTGGGTTTTGTCAGATTTCATGTCAGAGATAAGTGGATGAGACTACAAATAAAGCAGCCTACCAGCCTGAGGGTAAACTGAACATCAGAGAAGATGTTTCACTGCCAGTGAACTTGACAGTCTAAGTACAACCAGCAAAAGCATCCCATAGGAGTATTCTGTCCAGCCCCCAATTTGGAAAGGGTAAAGCTCTCAGTCTGCTCCCCATCCTCTTTCCCACCCTAGTTAGTAGGTGTCTTATATATATACATACTCTAAAGCAGCAGTAAATAAGGGTCTTTGAATCCAGGACACCCAGCACACTCACTTCATAGCCAAGCCTGGAGGCCCGCTGCAGGAGGGTCTCACCAGCATTCTTATTGACAATAAGTCTCCGTGCTTCTGGTGGCAATGGGCGTGACTGTATAGTCTCTGGAGGGGATCCTGAATGTAGTAACTGTGAGGAGTGAAAGTTGGCAGAAATTGTTAAGAACAACTGAAATATTTTTGGTCCTGCCTGGCTACTGACATATCACAGTCAAAAGTAGGTTCAAAGAGTTTTCTGACTTCATGGTCTGTCACCTATCAAAAAACCAAGCAATGTACACATAACACCAGTTTCTTTCCCTCCTTCCCTTCCTATATCTCCCATCAAGGAAGATACTTTCGGCTTTTATTTGGGTGAGTGAAGGTGTTTCATTCTTATTAATTTGAAACAATATACAACTAAGACAATCTGTAGGACAGGACTGACTTTGGAGAAAGAACAAATGGATTTATCATTGCAAGCAGGCAGCAAATCAGCAGGCAGGGATGGGTAAATGTCTACACATGGCTGATTCAGGAGATTATTAAGAGGTACCTTGCCATCAGCATTCTCCATGTAGTAATCCCCAGTCACTGACAAGCTCTCCCTATGCTCCTGAGGAACCAAGTGCTTGGCTTTGCAAAGTCTCTTCCCAGATGGCTTCTCACTGCTCTCAGTTTTTTCCAGTAGCAGGGAGGCTGAATGGCAGTCCTCTTCATTGTCTGTAATTATTATATCTGTCTTGTGGCTTCCTTTAATTTTCTTCTGTTTAGTATGCAACTTCAATGCTGGAATGCAACTTGGGTGATTCTTCTTTTTGTCACCTGCAGTGGAGGATAAAAGGCTTTTCATGGGCAGGGAGCTAGAGAATACATGAAAACCTAAATGCAGATGTGGATGCAGAGACAGATGGAGGGAAGGGTTGGGGAAGAAAAGCAGGTTTCATACAGTTGTCATGAAAGAAAGTCCGTTGTCAACACAGATGACTGAAGCAGCTTCAGCTCTTAAAGGTATAATTAGTATAATTCCCTCACAGACCCTTTCCTATAAAGACAGGTCACCCACCCACCCTCAAAGAATGAAGTGAGCATTCATTAAGTAGTCTCCACATAACTGGTTTGTTGTAACTGGATTTGAGAGACTCTTTCAACCAGCTCTGGTTACCTTTCACCTCTGGAATTTTCTTGCTTGGGTTTCTCTACAGTGATGTTACTTCCCTGGGCAGCAACCTCAGGCTGCACAGCCTGGGTCACTTCCTTCTTGCACTGCTAGTCAGGTTTACCCTTTACTGCTGACACCTCCTGTTCTCTAAGATGCAGCAAGTGGCATTGCTTCTTAGGATGGAACCCTGTTAATTCAATGCACACCTTCAGTTTGGTCAGTTCACTAAAGTGTGGCTCTTATAAGTGGTTAGAGGAACTATTTGTCATTTCCCTGTCAGACCAGTTATCTAATGCAGAAATAACTACATGTTATTTTAAAAACCCACTGGGAATGGTGAGAGACAAATTATGCTTCACTATGATGGTAGCAACAGTGATGCTCCTGAGTATGTTACCAAATATTGTAAGGGGGTCTACTTGTTTTCAGCCACCTTTGAGTTTGAGGAAGGAGAAGTACCGAAAGTTTTCCTGGATCTCCAGAGGTGGTTTTCCTCCAGTGTTCCAGAAACTGAAACAGTCAAATTTGTTTGTTCACCTTTCACCTATTCACACATACACATGCCCACAAATCGACCCAAGCTCACCTCTGGAGACACGTTTTCGCTTAGCTTTCAGCAGAGGATCCTCAGACTTCTCTTTCACAATAGTCTCCTCATGGCTGCTGTAATCTGAGAGATTGCATTTTCTATCCAGCCAGAGTGTGGGGCTGTTGGAGGGTAGCTGGTCAGTGGGTAGCTTGCTCACATGTTGTCTATCCATCAAAGTGAGAGCTTTGTCTTCTGTAACTTCAAAGTTATTGTGTTTGCTTTCACCTAGGGAAAGGGAAAACAATACAGAAGTGACTGGTTCAAATGTCATGTGAAGGCAGATTTCAGAAATCATACAACTTGCACATTCAACTTAATCTGCTTTTAAGTAACCCATCTTTGCACAGCAGTTTAGGGAATTATATACAAAACATTAAGAAAAAATAATTTCCCAAAGGGATAACTGAACACAATCAGGAAATAAAGCCGAGTGGGATTTATACTAGAAATGGTCAAAACACAAATGTCCTACTCCTACGTTTTATATACTCATATTGTGTGTCTTACAATAGTTGGGGGCATGAGAAAACTAAGAAAGGAAATAAGATGCATAGGGAGTCAACATTATCTCTTTCTGCATCATGTGTGTATATGCGCGTATGTATATATACCCATATATACACATATATACACACATATGTATATATACATGCATATACAAATACATATTTTTTGGTAGCAAGATCAAACTAAGCCAGGGCTGATCAAAACAGTCCATCATTATTTTTGAAATAACCAGAAGGAAGGTATAATTAGTAGACCAAGTTTTGCCCAAATTATCATCTATTCATTTGGGCCAAAAATAATGATGATAAAAAATGAGAGGAAACAGTATTCCTCAAAAAAAGGGGGGTTGGGGCCTCCCTGGTTGTGCAGACAGTTGAGCACAGGGCTGTGAAGCTGTCTGCAGCCTCTGAGGCGTAGGTTCAATCCTGGCCAGGCAGGGAGAAACCCACAAGGCGCCGCAGACCTCTCCTGTCTTGCCCACTGCTCCTCTCAACAGTGTATTTTGTCAGTCAGTCTGCCTGTTCTGTTCTTCACTCAGACTCTAATGAATCCTCTCACTCTCCTGCACATCTGGCCTGTATCCCGGTTCTTATATAAATAAATAACCAAAAAAAGGGGGTTTGAGAATCACCAGTTGCTATCACGATGACTTCCAGGTTCACACAAAATGATGACTGAACCAAGAAAGGGCTGTCTCCTATCTGATTTTCCACATTAGTATTAAATTAAAATTCTTAGCCCTAGGGCCTCCCTGGTGGCACAGGCGGTTGAGTGCAGCGCTATGAAGCTGTCCATGCCTCTGGAGCACCAGTTCCATCCCTGACAGCCTCGGAGCAACCCACATGGTGTGGCAGACCTCTCCTGTTGTGCCTGCTGCTCCCATCAGCAATGTGTTTCGTCAGTCTGCCTGTTCTGTTCCCCTTTCTGTCTCTGGTGAATCCTCTTACTCTCCCGCATATCTGGCCTGTATCCTGGTTCTTGTATAAAAATAAATAAATTAAAAAAAAGATTCTTAACCCTACATGTTTCAGATTCCACTTTATCATATTACATTTTGATTCTATGGCTCATGTAATCATCCACATCTTAGTCTCAATCCTGCCTAGTTTTCTGAGGAAGACAATTTCCTACTTCAGACTCTCTACACAATTACTAACAATGAAATTAATTTGAAAGTCTCCCTCTTATTCAATTTTTACATTACAGTTGGTGTCTGTGCCCATAGAAAACCACCTGATTGCTTATTATACAATCATCTGTAGTGCCTGGGGACCTGCAATCCCAGCTTTTCAGTGACTAAAAAGCACCTCTGAAAGATGAGACCTTCTTCTCTGTCTTGTTCAGGCTTTCCATTGGGTTAAAGATAACCAGGATAATTATATTACTTCACAATCAACTTAGAGATGGAACAATCCTTCCTGCCCTTCCAATCCACACAGTGCGATGTCTATGGCTCCACACCATTAACTACTATCAGAAAACCTCCAACAAAAATATCAGGGTTCACTGAAATCACCCACACAAGTGTATCTACTGTGTCGTCCATGAACAAGAAGGTTTATCCACCCTTTATACATCACCACCTCCTCCCGCCATGCCACTCACTATTAAAAAATATAAAATAATTAAGATATTTTCAGTATTGCCTCACAGAGCAAGATTCTGATTACACTAAGTTAAGAGGTCATCATCATCATGAGTTGTGGCAGCAGCAAGATCATCATCCTAAAGAACACCTGTAATTATCCCAAACATACCCTGACTATCAGCTATATGAAAGGATCCAATTCACATGCAGGTCTTGACATAGGACTTTCTCAAATAAGGTCATTTTACATCTACTCACATTATTACCCTTGAAGTCAAAGGACATACAAGAGAGAAAGATAGAAAGGAGTCTACAACCACTGCTATGTAGAGTCTTTCTAAAAGCAGGAACCCATGTGCATTTTGCTCACACCATCTAGGCTGATGTGAGTGTGGCCGTATTGGACATGGTCTAATACCTGCTCCTCACAGCACAGTCATATGACTCAGCATATCTCATAATTTATCATTGTTATGCTTTCACAAAAGCATCACCGTAACAGTTACACATCTCAATGGCAACAAAGCTTTGTTCAGCATGTCCAGTGAACTTTAAATAAGGTAGGAGAGTATTAAGACATTAGAAGGTTTTTCAATGTTATTCCATTTTCAACAGGTAACTTTAACACCTCTACAAAGCTAACCTCCCCCCCTACACAGAAAAGGGATGGGGCAATCTCTGCTTCAATCTCAAAGAAAATGTTGGTGTTCTGCCAGAAAAGAGGTTTCTAACTCAGACTCTAACTTAGACTTTCAGGAAATCATGCCCCAAAACTGCTATCACACTGGTCTGGCTCCGTCAGATGACTGGCAAATTTGGTAACCAGTCCAAATTCCAGAAGAAAGGAACCAATTTGGTATTCTTGTTCCTCCCCATCTTTAAGAAATGACTGATGGCTCCTATTAATGAACCTCTAAGTGTGTGAAACCTTAGCAATTTGTTGACTTATGAAGTAAAAATTCAATTTGGTTGCTTACACTAGAGAGTAAATCATGACCTCTGTATTTTTCAACTTTCCCCGATTAAGACACATCTACTTTGTCTATGATGATCTTCCACAATTTTTGATAAACATTTCTAACTATGGGGCAAACTTTTTAACAAGGCAATGTGTCTATGAAATAAATGTCTATGGGCCTCCCTGAGGCACAAGGGGTTAAGCACAGCACCTGTGAAGCTATCCTCAGCCTCTGCAGCACAAATTCGATACCCGGCTGGCCAGAGAGACACCCACATGTCGCAGCAGACCTCTCCTGTCTCTGCACTGCGCCCCTCAGCAGTGTATTTTGTCAGTCTGCCTGTTCTGTTCCCCACTCTGTCTCTAGTGAATCCTCTCACTTACCACACCTATGGCCTGCACCCCAGCTCTTATGTGTAAAAATAAATAAAGCTTGGGTCTCCCTGGTGGCGCAGGCGGTTGAGCGCTGCGCAGTGAAGCTGTCCGCAGCTTCTGCAATGCCAGTTCGATCCCTGACAGCCTAGGAGCAACCCACATGGTGAACAGACCTCTCCTGTCTCTCCCACTGCTCCCCTCAGCAGTGTATCTCAGTCAGTCTGCCTATTCTGTTCCCCACTCTGTCTCTGGTGAATCCTCTCACCCTCCCGTGCATCTGCCCTGTACCCTAGTTCTTGTATAAATAAATAAATCTTTAAAAAAATCTTAAAAAAAAGAAAGAAAGAATTTCAAGGTGTCACAAAGTTCAAAACAACAAGCCCTTCATAGAGAGCAAGAGTCCTTTTCTCCCAATAGACACCAAATAAACATTAAGCAATTGTGCATGAATTACTTCCTATACTATCCGTTAGTTCTAAGAACAAATCATACTGTATGATGTGGTACATTACAGTCACTTTTACTTACATCTCTCACTGTTGTTCTGGTCAGCAATGACCCCCAGTGGTTTTGGCTTTCTGCCCTGATTTCCTTTCAACCTTTCATTATCAGCTACATTGGATTTGCATATTTCAGAGACTTTGGTTGCTGGGTGGCCACCTTTTCTCTCTTTCATCTCCAGCTCTGAGAAGTGCATAATTGCTCGCTAGAAAGAGAACATACAAGAATGAAAAATAATTTACCATAAGATTGTTTCATTTGCTTCACCTTAGCGGAAGTAATTTCAAAGAAAAGTTGCCCACAAACAACAATTTATAAAAGAAGTTGCTTTAACACATTAATCTAATGAAATTTTAGTTACAAACATACACACACCCTATGTATTTATCTATCTATACATAGATTGTTGCAAGAGACGAAATATGACAATAAAGAGAAACAACCACAGACTATGAACTTCCCTTTTTATATTTAGAAGTGAAATTTACATTCTAGTGAGAAAAGCTGAAAGAAAGTTATTTGAAGAAATAACCTCCTGAAGAATAGCAAGACATAAATACTGTCTTTTTGTAATCCTCTTACTCTTGCAATTAAACTAGATAGTCTATGGCCATTTAGAGAACTTCATCAATTTTCATTAAGTGTAAACCAAAATTTCAATGATGTTAAAAAGTTGACTTTATATTCCAATAATTGTAATTATAATTTATAATTCCAATAATTATATTCCAATAATTCCATAATTCATTGTTGAATGAAGTATACAACATATTTGTAGGGTAAATGGTTTTCAGACTTTTCTGCCCTCCCACCATTAGGGTTTGCTGATAGGGCACCTGCAGTTGTTACACTGTTGTAAGCTGTGTTGTTTACTTCTGTGGGCCATGACTCAGTTTTGAGACAGTGACCAAGAGAAGTAGAGGCAGGAGGAGAGGCGAGTAAAGAAGGCCCAAGAAGTCCAAAGTGAAGACTTGCTGGCCTCCTGGCCCCCCCGGCACCACTGCCTGTCATGTACCTGGCTGCTGCACTATATGTAGAAGTTCAATAAGGGCCTGAGAAAGCCACAAAAGGCTCCAGGACTCTCCTTTACCTGACCAGTCTGCTCGAATCTTAAAAGAACATGCTCAGTGCCCATCCTGACACTACATGCTAGAAGGTATGTATATATGAAGGTAGCAACACACATGAGGTTGCCAAACACCCCAACCAAATAAGATGTATGGAATGCTCTGCAGTATCTTTAGATATATACATTAACATACAATAATGAGAGCAAAATCAAAGCAACTGATAGTAAACGTCACACAGTCTTTAGTCTTCATAATAATTAGAACTTCCTTTACCAGCATTCCAGTGCTGTTCTCTTAAAATACACAGAATAACTATAGGGTATCCAGACACATGAAGCTCCTAAGTCTACCACTCACAACCTATTACTGGACACATTTCATACATTTAAATAAAACCATAAGGTTTGTTAACCAACTCTGCCTTATGTCATGTTCTACCAGACTTCCCCAATCCTCTTTATACAATTAAAAAACTGACAGCTAGTAAAGTTATTGATACTTGGTCGGGGGGTGGGGGCGAGGGGAGGGCTCACCTGCAATGCACGCTGCTCCCGGCTGAGCTGACTTGAATCTGCATACAATTCAGTAGTGACACACTTGAATTGGTCACCCACGTAACCAACGGAGTTTACAATTCTCTTTGCCAGCTTAGATGGCTTTGATTTCAGAACTTTTCCATCATGAGATACTACCTCATCAGTTCCATCTTTGGTATCGGTGGGGTTGGTGTCCACACTTGGTGGGGCACTATCCATACAAAATGGTTTGAGGTCCTCTTGGGTTTTACCAAAAGTTACAATGGGGCTATCACTCCCCAGAATGGGCTCCAGAAAGATGAGACTGGCACCCCCAGGTTCTCTTTATCAGTCCCTATAGAAACACTCATCTTGTTCAGACTCAAGATTGATTGGACTGGACTCTGTTTGAAAGTACAAGCTTCAGGAAATTCACTGATGGACCCCAACTCTTCTCCAAGAGTGATGAAATCTTGGTGTGACAACAAGGAGTTATCAGTGGGAGGTTTGCCACATGTAGGGTTCTCAGTTGCAAAGTCCAATTTGGACGCATTTGCTTGAGTTCTATTACCTGGCTCTTTCCCAAGATGGTCTACATAGGCAAGCTCATGACTTTTGACAATCATCTTCCCTTGTCCCCAGATGCTACTCAGTTTTAGGTTCTTCTTAATAGGAACTTCTGAATGCAACTTGATGGTGCTACTTTCCAACATCTCAGAAAATTTGTTCCACAGGGCTGGGTCCTCATTGTGGGCTTGCCTATGGTACCCAGAACTCCCCTCTAATTTCTCCTCCTTAGTGACCTCTTTGGGTACAATGTGATGTACCATGCCCAGTACATCCTGGTAGGTTATAAACTCTGGCTGGTTCTGGGGCAGTCCAGGCTCAGACACAAGGTAACCAGGAAAGAGGGTATCACTGGGCAACAAAAGTGGATAATGGCATACTGGTCCCCTGTCACATAAAAAGAGGGGATTTATAGGCTTATTTCCAGGTACTGGATAAGGCAAGCAATTCTGAGGATGAGGTACAGATGAGGACCTGAACACCTCATTTGGAGACAGAAACAATGAACTTGGTGAGAGGCCATTCTTGTTTGCTTTAAAGCTCGGTTCTGAGTTGCTGGCTTTGGTATCCTTGCTGCTGGTGCCAAAGCTGTGTTTGGCAGGTGTGGTGGGAGGCTGGCCCACATGATGAATGACGAATGCTGTACTGTCCACAGAGCTACTGCTTTTTTTGCTCCCATCAGCACTGGTGTTGAGAGCTGGTGATGCTGATGCCAGGTGGCCAGCACTTGACACTGATCCCAAAACATTAGTGACCACAGTGTTTATGCCACCCATTTGAAGGCATGATGAACTCTGCTGCTGGGGTATTGTCCAGTCCAAATTCTTATTTTTAAGCAGCAGACTTCTGCCGTTAGTTTGTTCCTTAGAACTTAGCTCAGGAACCACCCAGGACGAGGGAGCAGTGTTAATGATTTCAGATTGGCAGGTAACACAGCTGTTTCTTGGAGGAGATGTTTCTTTCAGCAGGTCACTTCCAGAGAGCCCCAAGGCACTTCTACCTCTGGTGTGGAATAGCACCACGGGGTCCATCTTTCTCACGTAGTCAGCTTTGAGAGCATCGACACCCACCACTTTAGATGATGAATCTAATGAATTATTGGTACTGTCTTTGGTAACCATGTGCTCCTCCAAAAGAGGAGGCAAACTGCCCTCTCTATGGCCCCGATATGCTATTTTCTGGATATGTATAGGAACTGGCTGGGCACAGTCAGTCTCTTCAGAAGCCTTTGGATATTTGCCATTAGAGAATCTGGCCCCAGAGAACTCATGGCCAACTGTTTTGTATGGCTTTGACAGGGTGACTGAGGGAGAAGTGGAGATCCTGACACAGTGCTTGTAGAATTCAGAACAGGTATTTACATTGGGCTGTGAGGGAAAGTAAACTTGGCGTGAAGGCTCATGGACAGCTATATCTCTGGGCAGACCACCGATGACAGCCTTGGTAGAGGGCATCCTAGACTGTTTACTGTGCTGGATATGGGGATAGGCGTGAGACTCAACAGAGTTGCGAGAGCTGACATCGATCTTCCAGGGCAGGTTTTTCTCTGTACAGTGGACCTGTGGTAGTATGGCTGGGAGGCCAAGGAAGTAGAGAGTCTCATGGGTGAAGCCAGGGATGATGAGATGTGGGAACTAACGTAGTAAGGTGGTGGGAGGCAGAGAAAACACCCCTCATTGGTGCAGACTGGAGAATACCATGGCTGGCCCAAGCTGGAGGACTGCTGAGATGGCAAGGTTTCATACATGCTTGGTGAATAGTTAGTTGATGTGTCATGGAAAGGACAGATGGTTGGTTTGACACTCTCCATGTAAGAATTGACCAGGGGCATTTGGAGATAATTAGTACCACTGATGTTGACAGGACTCTGTTCATCAAAGGCAGGCCTGTTCAAGCCCAATGTTTCTACTGTGGGCATAGAACATTTTTGCATTGTAGTGGGTGTTTGGTATTTAACTGTTGTTCTTACAGATATAGCAGAAGCCTCCACTGTCTCACATGTATTTGATTTGATCTGCTCCTCTTGATTTTTTTGGGAAGAAAACCCAAGCTCTTCTAGAGTGTTCATGGCAGCCTCCCGATGTTCCCCTGAGTTGAAGTCACATAAGTTAGAAGAGATAATGTTTCCAGGGACACAGAGTCCTTTCTGGATCAGATCATTAGGATCCATGGTCAGTGCTGCTAGGGCATCAATCCAATGGGCCGTAGTTATATTCACCTTAGCAAAAGAAGAAACATGGGTGTTCTCTTAGGATATTTCTTCAAAACAATAGGACCCACCCCAAAGAGAATGGGGATATTATTTTAAAAGATAATGGCCTAACACACAACTTGAGAGTTAAAAATGAGTTAAAAATATGGAAAGCTGTGTGGAGATTTCTTGACCTACTAAACATAGAGCTTCCAAAGGATCCAGCAATTCCACTCCTAGGTATTTACACAAAGGACACAGAAACATCAGCTCCAAAGAGCACCTGCACCCCTATGTTTATAGCAGCACTATTTACAATAGCTAAGCTTTGGAAACAACCCAAATGCCCAAAAATAGATGACTGGATCAAGAAGATGTGGTACATATATACCATGGAATATTACTCAGCATTCCAAAAAGATAAACACATGCAAACAACTATGAAACAGAGAGGGGCGTGGGGAGGTGAGGGATTGGGGTCAAAATAAGGGGGTTGCAATTGTATGGGGAATATAAAAATAAAATTTATTAAAAAAAAAAAAGTGTTCACAGGCTGTGCTTTCTTCCTACCCAAACCATTTCTTTATACCTTTGTTCATCTAGTATTCTACCAGCACCTGAAATGTTGATCCTTTCACACTTAAAGACCAATTATTACTTAAATCATCTATTAACTTTGGAAATTTCAACTTATCAAAAATTCCTGCTTGCAACTGTCAAGATACAATCTTCAATACTCTCTTATTCTCATTTAGTATACAATGCACACTAAATCTCCCAGGCTTGTCAGAGGGTATGGGGTGTAATATTTCCTGGCACAGGAAAGTCTAATTTAATATAATAGGACATATATATATATATATATATATGACATATATATATATATATATGACAGAACAACCGGAATATTGCACTTTAGTGACATTTTAAATCATTAATCTATGGGTAAGGTTGTGGTTGCATTGTTTGAGTTCTCCTCCCAAGTACGTATGGAAGACAGTGTGGCAGTCCATGCTTTAGCGAAAGGGTAAACTCTCAGAGTCTACATTAAAGCTGCAAATTTATCTTTCTATAAGCCCTAACATAGGAAGAGAGAATCTTGAAAGCCATAAGAGAACTAAAAAATTGTTAATAAAATTATGTTAATTTAAACATGTATCTCCAGAAAAATCTTAAGGTAAGACAGAAGTATATAATATTAAAAATGTGAAAGATAACTGTTTAACCAAGAGAAAACTGTCCCTCAAAAATAAAGGTGAAAAAATGAAAAATGATGTAAAAATACATAAAATGAAATTTAAGAAATGAAGAGGATATTAAGATTTTCCCACATTAAAAACAAAATTAAAAAAAAAAACCCTAGGACTTCAGGACAAGAAATAACAAAACTATACTAATACATGGAACAAAAAATACCACTCCCACATATCTGAAAAGGAGAGGGGAATGAAAATAGTGGGAGATTTCAATATTCCACTCTCAATAATGCATAGAAAGCCAATACGAAAACAAAGAACTTGAATATACTACACCCCAATTTGAAGCTGACAGACATATTGAACACTGCACGAAACAGTAAAACAATCATTCTTCTCATGTGTGCACACAGGACATTATCGAGGATAGATTATGAGTTAGCTCCCAAACTAAACCTTAAAAAATTTAGAAAGCTGGAAATCATACCAAAAATCTCTCTGCACACTGCATAATGAAACTAAAAATTAGTATCATAAAGAAAACTGAAAATCCACAAATGCACAGAAATTAAACATCACACTTGAAAAAAATCAGTGCATAAAAGAAATCACAAGGGAAATTTGAAAATACACAGAAAACAACTGAACATGGAAACACAACAAACCAAAATTTAGGATATGCAATAAAGCAACGCTAGCCAGTTAAGATGATACTCATAAATGAAAAAGAAAAAAAATGCCAAAATCAAATTAGTTTCATAATTAAAAAGAAAGAAACATAAAGTTAATAGGAAGAAAAAAGGTGGCTAGAGATCAGTAAAATAAAACTATCCCTTTTTAAAAAAATTCAAGAAAATTAATAAACCTTTGGCTAGACTGATTAACCAGAGAAAAATTCAAATTACTAAAACCAAATTCAAGAACATTACAACTGTTGCCACAGATGTAAAAATGACTAGGAAATGCATACAACTGAATTAAACCATCAGGGAACAGAGAATCTGTATTATATCCATTACAAATACGTTATATCCATTAAAGAGAATGAACCAAAAATCAAAAACCTTCTATAAATACAACTCCAAAATCTCAGCTTCACTAGTGAGTTCTACCAAAAACAATTTAAAAATAATAACCTCTCCTCTTCAAACTCTACCAAAAACTTGCAGAGAAAGTATGATTTCCAAATTTATTGTTAGCTCTATTACCCAGATAAAATACTCTACAAGAATAAAAATTACAAATATCCCTGTTGACTATTTATATATTTTCCACAAAACACTAGCTAATTATTCAACAGCGTGTTAAAAGCATTCCACTACATGAAAAACTGCAATGGATTTTTTTTCACAATTTAAGGATAAATGAAATTCATCAATGAAATATTATTAACAGACCAAAAGAAAAAACTCCATCTCAGCTGATGCAGAAAAAGCTCTGACAAATATATATTATTTTATAATTATAAGCATCTAACAAACTAGAAATAGTAACTACCTTAAGATAATAAAGACATACAAATATGACAAACCCATCACTAAAACCATGCTCAATTTGAAAGCTCTTTTTAAGGTCAAGAGCAAGACATGGATGCTCATTCTCTCCATTTCTAGTAAATATTAAACATAGCTCATGGGGTCAAAATCAGAAAAAAAAAATTACAAAAGGGCTCCAAATTGGACACAAAGAAGTTAAGTATCTATTCACAGGTGAAATTGTCATAGACATAGAAAACCTCAAGATTCAACAAGAACACTTTAAGAAATAGTAAATTTAACAATTTGAGGATAAAAAATAGACACAAAAATACATTTTTCTGTATTCCAACAATAAACAACTTAAGAACATGGCAGTAAAGGAAATGAACAAAGCAATTACGGAACACTAAAAATTTTAAATTCGTTACAAACTTAAAGGAGTCAGACAATGTGTACATGAAAAAAATCAAGGATACAAATAAATGAAAATATAGCCTTGATTCATGAATTGGGATAGTAATTACTACTTGTTCATGAACTGAAAACAATATACAGATTTAATGCAATCTCTCAAAATCTCTAAGGCATATTTTTCAAATATAAAAAAAAAGCCAAGATTTTATAAATTCTCTAGGCTTTTTTCTCTTCTTCCAAGCATAAAATCAAGTTAAGGAAAGGCAGCCACTAGCACAGGGCAAATCATAAGACCTACTCTAAAAGAAGTAACACATTTTGAACAATTTAGTATAGACAGCAAAGGAAGAAAAGGAGTGAAGACCATTGTTGGATCCCCCTGTAAACTATATGTACCTAAGCATTTATAATTTTTTTAACTGCCTTACAAAATTTTTGTGAGCTGCTTAAATGTAGAGATCTGGTGAGTAAACACCACCACCACTGCCAGCCATTATTTTATTGCAACAAACTAAAGACTTTAATTCTTAAGGTAGAATGCCAGATTTCTGTAGAGAAAAGAAGCACCAAGGACACTGTCATCAGGACAGTCATCAGGAAGTCATCGGCAAGTCTTCAGTTCCCTCATACAGGAAACTGCACATGCCAGGCACATCTAGCACAGATTGCGAACACTCACTATGTGACCAATGATCTGTGTTCTTTGAACAACAAAGCTTGCTTTGCACGGGAATTCCTGTCCTAACAATGCCCCAGTGAGCACCAGGCATTGACCTCCCCCAGAAATTAATCAAGCAGGCCAGATGTAGCATGGTCAAGATAACCGGGAGGCTGATAACACAATCTGGGGGCTGAATGTTAGCAATACCAAGGACACCCAACTGTGGTGGACTGTTCTGATGGGCTCTTTGCTTATGAATGTTCGACTTACTGCTCAACAATCAACTAGAGGTGAGATATAAGAACAGTTTCTTATATCTTATATATATCTTATATCACTAGAGGTGAGATATAAGAACGGTTTCTTTGGGGTGATATGCCCACCCTTCTCAGATTGCTGGCCAGCTACCTAAGTGAACTTGCTCCTTATTGATTCTGTTCCTGTCTTTGCTCACTGGCATCTGCACTGACAGGCAGCAAATTCAGGGACTTCCCCCAACACACTCAATGATCCATCCCACTGATGCACCTACTAAAATTTTGCACATTACTTTCTTTAAGTATTATTAATGAAATGGAAATCAATGCCATTAAATCATCCTAGATCATATAAATTCATGTCACTCAGTTTGCACTAGGAGCATCAATGTGATTAATCTACAGTATAAGAGGCTAAGAAAGAAAATCACTGCCAGGTACAGCAAACTGTGCTATATACTAGAGACTCAGGGAACCACATGTGTATTTTGGACTAGAGGTATTTAGAAGGTGAGAACACCCAACGGGAGATCTATATCGAACATGATGAATATAGTTTATATCAACCGTCTCAGTAACGGATATCTTTGGGTTTGAGTTTGGTCCTTATAGAAATTTTTATTTTGAAGTGGGAACGTGTCTGGACATGACAAATCCAGATTAAGTCTTTAGTACTACATCTGAATTTCTGTCAAAGCATTCCTGACAGAATGAGAGAATTTGGAGAATCCCACTTGGCAACACCCAGAACCCTTTGAAAGCATCCTAATCAACTGCATGATAGATGCCCAATCTTGGAGGGTATCTCCTGATAGGATAAGGCAATAGTAAATCATGATCAGGAAATCTAAAGAACTGAATTCTTTTTCCCCTGCTTCATTGTGTGCTTTGTGTTTATTTTTAATCTTTCATAATTTATTTTTTATTTTCATCATTGTTTGTACATCATTTTTGTACAGTCTTTTATTTCTCCATTTAGGTGTAGTTCTCATAGTTCTCCCACCACCACATCACCCAGGAC